GCTAGGGTGTTGATAAGATCGTTTTGATCTTATGATCTTCTAAAAACTTGCTTACTTTGCTACAGATAAATTGTTTCCCGTTATCGCATACGATCTCAGATGGAATTCCGAAATGACATACGGTGTGGTCCCAAATGAAATCAATGACTTAGTTCTCCCTGACCTTTTCGTATGCCCGAGCTTTCACCCATTTAGAAAAATAGTCAGTCATAAATAATATAAATTGAGCCTTACCGGGTGCCCATGGAAGAGTGCCAACGATGTCCATTCCCCACTTCATGAATGATCATGGTGACAAAACCGAATGTAGCAGCTCACCGGGCTAGTGAATCATTGGAGCATGTCTTTGGCATTCATCACATTTTTGTACGAATTCCTTCGCGTCCTTTTCCATGTCGATCTAGTAGTAACCAACTCTAATTACCTTTCGAAACAATGATTCTGCGCTTGAATGATTTCCATAGGTGCCCTCGTGAACTTCCCTCAGAACATACTCGGTATCTCCTGATCCTAGATATATTGCTAGTGGGCCATCGAACATTCTTCTGAACAAGGTTCCGTGTTCGGACAAGCTAAACACGACTGTCTTTGTATGTAGGGCCCTTGATTCTTTTGGATCCGAGGGTAGTTTCCCAGTCTTCAGATATTCTACATATTTTTTTCTCCAATCCCAAGTTAAGCTTATAGAGTTTATTTTGGAGTTACCTCTTCCACTACCGATCTCATGAGTTGTACTACTGCCCCTGAGTTGAGCTCATCGTCCTCGACCGATGACCCTAAGTTTGCAAGGGTATCAACCTTGCTATTTTGATCCCGAGGTACGTATTGCAATGTCCACTCCTTGAACCGCTGTAATGTTACCTGTAACTTCAAGCATGACCGTGAGTTTTAAATGAAATATTTGTGTTCTTGATAAATCATTCGAATGCCTAAGTTGTTGATTCTCTGTATTGAGTAAAGATTATGATTATTCTCATGGGAATTACTTATGATTGAGTATTGGTGCTAATTGAGGTAGTTAGATGTTGGAACAAGTTTGGTTATAGCTGATTTCCCTTGCTGGGACGTAGTTACTTATACTATCGATTCCCTTGTCGGGATAGCGTTGTTTCTTTATTGATCCCTTGTCGAGACTCTTGTTGTGATTGTTGTTGAACTGTATATGTGGATCGGTTTGCACGCCGCAAAAATATTATATATGGACCGGGCTGCATGTCGCAACAATACTATATTTGGATCGGGTTGCACGCCGCAACAATAATATAATTGGATCGAGTTGCACGCCGCAACAGTGATAAATGATATGGATCGGGTTGCACGCTGCAACAGTGATAAATGATATGGATCGGGTTGCACGCTGCAACAGTGATAAATGATATGGATCGGATTGTACGCCGTAACAGTGATAAATGATATGGATCGGGTTGCACGCCGCAACAGAGTTATTATGTTTTGGGATCGGGTTGCGCGCCGCAACAATTGATAATACGAAGTGTTCAAAGATTCGTTACGAGTTCCTTATTGTTTGGCTGTAAAATTCTAAATTGTTCTTATGCTTTTCTCTTAATTTACTGTTGGTACTGATATTCCCCCACATCATGTACCACTTCTCATATTTACTTGTTATTCCTGTTTTATTCTCCGTTACATATTATATAACTGCACAGGTTTATTTGGTAGTCTGGTCCTAGCCTCGTCACTACTTCGCCGGGGTTAGGCCCGGCATTTACCAGCACATGGTCGGTTGTGCTGATACTACACTCTGCACTATGTGCAGATCCCAGAGCGGCAGCTTTTGGACCGTAGCATTGGGTGGCTTCCTTCAGTCCAGTTAGAGATCCCGAGGTAGTGCTGCAGGCGTCCGCAGGCCCGACGTTCTCTTCTATCTTTATGTGTATTTTGTTTTCATTTGCTTCCGAGATAGATTTTACTTTCTTTTCAGATATTTGTATGTAGTATTCATAGACAGTCTGTGATATTGTGACACCGGATTCCGGGTAGAGATGTATGTTGGTATTGCCATACTGTTTTGGCTAGTTATCATATTAAGTCTTCTGCATGTATTCATTTATCATTAATATTTCATTGTTAACTTAAATTGGTAAAAAGGCTAAATAAAAGAGTTAGTGATTCTGTATTACGCGGTTTGCCTAGCTTTCACGAGTAGGCGCCATCACGACTCCCGAGGGTGGGAAATCCGGGTCGTGACACAAGATCTGTGTATTCATTATCCTCCCCAGATCTCACTGTGTGGGATTGCACTACGTTTATTATTGTTGTTGTGGTTATTGTGGTTGTTGTTCCCCTCCAAAAAAATAATAATTATATGGGATTAAAGTAAAGAGAGGAACCATGTAGCCGTAGAAAAGAAAGCATATATAATTTAATATATTATCTGTGATTCTAATAATTCTATCACTTAAGTACCTTCTATTAACATATATCATAGTTTACTAAGAATTTATTATTCTTTTAATCAAAATTTGAAATAAAAAATGATGTCCGGCTCATGATCATGTTGTCTAGCCAAAGGTCCAATAGTCTAATTCTTTTCTCTTTTGGTTTTCTTTTCTATTTGAAATTGAATTCGATTTTTATTTTAATTTGGTAGGGTTGTACATAGGTCGAGTTGGCTCAGATTTTTTAATTACCAAATTAAATTAGTTGTGTCGGGTTATTAATTTAAAGACCAAACTAAACCAACAAAATTCGGGTTTTTCAATTACGATTTTTTTCGAGTTTTCAGTTTTTTCGGATTCTTTCCCGGTAAAATCTTCATACCACAAAACATATAACTTGTGCTTCAAATATCTTTTTAATCCTAATAAGATATAAGTGTTTTTCAAGAAAATATCTTTCTATTTTCTTATATTTTTTCGTCGATTGAGAATATATTTAATTCAAACTAAAAATTTGCATAACTTAAGACTATATACATCTTCGAGAACATTAAACAACTCAAAATCACATTCTTGTTTGGATTATCTATAAAATTTGTTTTTTGATTTTTGAATTCCAAGTATGTTTTTTCTCTTTATGGGATTACAACTATCTAGACATTAATAGATTCAAATCTCTCTTATGAATATAATTCACTATTAGAAATTCGGCCAATATCGATCGCGGCTAACCTACCAACTTCGGTCGATCAAAATACCGACCTAAGTCGATCGATTTTTTAAAATATTTTATTTTTTAATTTTTTTTATGAAACCGACCAACTTCGATTATTTTTTTTTTTATGCACAAAAATGCGAGAAACTATTTTAGCGTCCTGCGAAATTTATTTTTTAAGAAAGCGACTGAAGTATCAGTCAATCATTTTAAAAAACCGACTGACTTCAGTCGATAATTTTATATTTTTAATAAAACGGACCGAAATCGGTTGATTATTTTCGAGCGAAGATGAATTAAAGAATACAAATAAAATAAAAGAAAGTCTTAAATGTACTAATAGTCTAGTGGTAGAATAGTATCCTGCCACAGTACAACTCCTGGTTTGATTCTCAGGCGGTACAATTTCTTAATTGCCTAATTAAAAATACTGACTGAATTCGGCCAGAAAATACCGACCTACTTCGGTCGATTTTTTCGGCAGATTTTTTCTAGTTGGGTCGTTTGTGAAATATAAGTGACCAATCAAAATCGGTCGGAAATTGCGACCGACTTCGGTCGCTATTTATTATCGACCAGCCTAATTTCGAAGGATTAAAGTCAGTCGAAAATCGGTCAGCTTTTTCAATTTTTCGATGGATTTTGATCGGTATTTCAGGATGGTTTTAAGCCTGGGATGTTGTTCAGAGGGTATAATGGCATCATCTATGTTCCAATTACTATGAAATGACTGACTAGCGATCATGTTTATATAAATTAGTTGCCCAAAAAACATAGTATAGGAGTATGTATTTATGGCAATAATAGCACTGTTTATTATAAGCTTTATCCTCAAAAGATTTTTCTTGCACATTTATTGTTTGTTTTACACATTTAATTTTGGGTTTTCTGTAATATTTTTTACAACTTAAAGTTAGAGAGTCGTGAGTGGCACCAAGTGAGTGTGACTCGCTAAACAAACCCTTAACCAATCGCATAGTAACATCAACAATAATATGCAAGCTTATAACAAAACTCCAAGTAGCCAAACCATCTTGCAACACATATATATAACAAAAAACTTATAACGTAGTCTGATGGCATCATCATAACAAAATAAATTCATCCAACCTTATATCTAGAATAATATAAATCAAGAAGAGTTTCGATCTACATCATATAACTGTTTGCTGAGATTACTGAAATACATCAAAAGGGTCACAAAAAAAACAGTTTGCTGCAACTGCATGCAATAATCAAACCATTTTGCATTCCTAGCAACACCAGAAGACAAAAGAAAATTGCAACTTCAAATAAGGAATTCAAGATGGATTGAAATCCTTGACTTCCCCAGCAACTTCATTTCTCGATAAGCCCTTTGAGAGGCAAACTATCATTTTCAATTTAAGTTTTGTTCCAATTGAAGAGGTTGACAATGTAAACAAATGGAGTTTTAACACTCATAAGTCTCTAAAAAATGTACAACTATCTAAAAATAGTTTTATAGTAATAATCTTTTATTTTTTAAAGATTGTGCATTTGGCAAGTAGATGTGAATAAAGTGTTTAAATTTTTTCGACGTGAAACTTTCCTCCAAATTAAAGTTCTACAAATTTTGTCGAGTCATAATTTTCTAACAACTTAGGGTTTTTGGTCGGAAACCTATCCAATAAAGCCTGAAATTCCCAAAAAGCCCATGGTTTTCACGAAGTATTTATGTACACATGCAATAATGAAATAATGGGCATTAAAGTAATTTGAACCCCGCATTTGAACTCGACAGAAAAATACGGGAACAGGGGTAAATGGTGGGAAGATAGTGCCTGTAACCGCCTTAACTGTCACTACACATAAAACACATTACTAATTACTATTACTATTACTAATATATAATGTAAACAAAAACCCAGAATTGAAAAACAAAATCACAACTTCGAATTGATAACGAAAGATTTCAATGAGTGATTCGATGATAAAGAAAGGGCCGTGGAAAGCGGAAGAAGATGAGGTGTTGAGAAAGCATGTGAAGAAATGTGGGCCAAGAGATTGGAGCTCCATTCGATCCAAAGGCCTTTTACAGCGTACTGGCAAGTCTTGTCGTCTTCGTTGGGTCAATAAACTTCGCCCCAACTTGAAAAAGTTAGTACATCTTTTCATTCTACAGTATTGCTTTCAATTGTCGTCACTCTTCTTTGTACTCATCATTTGTTGGGTTGCCAAATTTCTGTTGTAAGTGAAGTATTTTCATTGTGGGAATTTCTTGTTGCATTGCTTGCAAAACTGAGTTTTTGGTTGAGGGTTTTTTGTTTTTGCTCTTCTTTTTGTTGTTAAAGTTGCAATTTTGTTGAGATTTTGTGGAGTTTCAGTTCTATGTTGAAGCATTTCATCGTGGGGTTCCCATTGTTGGGGTTGGGAAGAGTTGGAATTACTTAATGCATTGCTTGTAGAAAGGGTTTTCGGTTATGGGTTCTTTGTTCTGCTATTTTTGTCTTACTATAATTGCCAAAAAAATTGTTTCTTTTTCTGCTTTTATTTTTCATAGAATTTAACAATTTGCTGAGACTTTGTGGAAATTGTGTTCAAGTATTTTGCATGGTGGGGTTTGTTGTTTTTACTGTAATATTTTGTGAAGTTATGCAATTTGCTTTTTTTACTCTGCTCTTCCCGTAAATTCGATTAAATTGTTGACATTTGATGGAGAATTCAAAAGGTGAGATTTACTGCCATAGCACTGATGACTCTGCTATGCGCATCAGATGTTTGTTTATATGCTTCGTGTTAGCATTGTGTTTCTGTCAAACTGGATTTTTTTTTTTGTTTTTACTATATTTCTTTATGAAGATATGCCGTTTGCTTTTTACTCTCTTCTTCTTGTAAATTCGCTTAAATTGTTGAACTTGGACGGAGAATTCAAAATGTGAGATTTGCTGCTATAGCAGTGATGATGTTGCAATGCGTATCAGATGTTTGATTATATGCTTAGTGTTAGCATCTGCTTCTGTCAAACTGGAAATGTATTTGATGAAATGAAGGTGATACCTCTTTTGTTAATTATTCATTTTCTTTTCTTTTTGAATGAGTAGTGGAGTGAAGTTTTCAGCAGAGGAGGAGAGGACTGTGATTGAACTTCAGGAACAATTTGGGAACAAATGGGCTACAATTGCAACCTATTTGCCTGGACGAACTGACAATGATGTCAAGAATTTTTGGAGTAGCCGGCAGAAGAAATTGGCTAGAATTATGCGGACCTCAGTACCACAGCCTAGTAAGCCCCAGAAGAGTAACAACAGGGAACCTCCTGCTCTTCAAAAACTTCCTTCAGTAGAGGTAATTCTATATTCTTCTCATCCCTATACTGCTCTCTGGTTTATCCTCTAGTGTTGTCAAATTTTACCGGACTTATTTAAATGAATCTTCTGTTATATCGGTTTAGCTGAGACATTGAGACATTTTTGACTGGTATTTTTCTCAAGATCTGGTAAAATGGGCATTTGAAAACTTATGGACATTGTATCTCTCAGCTTCCTCACTTGTGGTCAGTCTGTGACAGTTTAGTCAAAACTTCTCAGATAGAAAGAAACATTGTTAAGATAAGTAAAAAAGCTCTAATTGTAGTTGTCTTACTCTTAACCAGTCAATAAGGTCAGGGGCCGATCTATAGCTAAAATTACGGGGCACGTGAACCCATGGTCCTTCCGCCAAACTAAGTATTTTATGTACGTACTTCCTAGAATTGGTCTAATATTATGTGGAGGCACCCATGCTCCATAAAGTTTTAATGGTGCATTTGGTTCAATATTTAATTATTTACTAAAAGAAAAGGGGATCAATTCCCACTTAACACATTTTTTTCTCCTTTCTTCGGTAGTGCACCCACATTCTAAAAATCCTAGATCCGCCTCTGAATAAGGTTGCATGTTTATGCCTTTTCACTGAATAGTTATCCCCACAATTTGTCATTTTCAGCTTGTGGATTGGATTATCTCTTTCTTTTTATTGAATTTTCAGGGACCAAAATTGAGCTCATTGGCAGAGGAAAGGTCTTTGTCCATGTCCCAGTATTGCCCATCATCCTATATGAATAACCCTGATACAATCAACATGGTCCAATGGCCAGAGTTAGTGAATTCAACTTCACTTCCTTTCGAGCCAGATTTGCTTCAACCTGAGTTCATTCCTAATGAGAAAAGAACCTGCTTCGGGTCACAGATTACACTCCCCTTTCCTCAGATTCCGCTGCAAGCTGACTTTGGTCACCCACTGGAAAGTCAAATATTACCCATGAAACTTGAGGAATCTGACTTCTTAGATTTTTTCGGGCAGCTCAGTGCTTCAGACATAGGAGATGTGCAAGTCCCTCTTGTACCAGCATCATGGTCAGGACCAGAGAAAAGCTCTGAGATTATTACTATGAAGAGAGAAATTGACGTCCCCCTTACACCAGATAGCTTCATCGATGACTTCCCTATGGATATGTTTGATCATATCGATCCACTGCCAAGTCCATTCAATTGGTGATGTAGTAATTAGTCTATTTCGGACAGGAAGAAGGGCATTCTTACTAGCTTGTTGGACAGATATGTAGTGTTCTATGTGACATGAATATTGCCATTTAGCTATTCTTTGTTACAGACAAATTGACCTAGTGCTTAACTGCTTCTAACAGTTCTTCATCAGGTAGATTTGTGTTCTCTGATGGCTTGATGGAAGATTTTGCATGTTGTTTTTTGTATCTTCCACAATATAAAGGAAAAAATTCTAAACCAGAGGTCTCACGCGAATTCGAATCCTGAATATGAAGTCGTCTTTATTAGAGAGTACTTTACTCCAATGGGCCTAATACGAATACGACCGAGTTCAGTTTTTGCCAATTGTTGATCAATGCATATACTGGATAAGCTTTTAGTTACAATTGTTGAATGAATGATTAAGTCGCATGGTAAAGCTAATTATATCACTGCAAGCATTTCATAAATCATTTCATATAGGGAATTTAAAGTTTTAAGTTATAATTAATCTCCTTCGGTTCTCAGTTCTATTTTGGTAACTATAAAATTATTCATATCGTGACCTCCTGGTCACATGACAACAACTTTATCAGTTACTCCAAGGCTTCCCTTATAATATATTTAATTTAATTGTTATTTGTTGACGCTGTAAAAGGATTTAGTTAAATTCTCTATACATTTTTTTATCTTGATCCAATTCAAAACTAGAAAAGATGTGTTGTTCATCTATCCCCTTTTGTTTTAGGTGATTTTAATGCTTTATTGCTATTTGGCAGTTCCATCGATGCTATATCATTTCTGTTTCAAAATTTAAAACATGATATCCACGGGGTTTTCTTTTTCTTTTAATGAACTAGACCTATTCAAAGTTTATCTGCTTTAGATCTATCGCTATGTGAAATTAACATAGTTCTTCCTTCGATTACGATCTTTTTAAACATTCTTTTTGAAATTATTAATAATAAGAAATTATTACTCAGTGACATCTATAAAATATATAAATAATATCTGAGTTCATCATGAAATTAAATGCTTTTATTGACCATTGTATCACAGTCGGTAGTGAATATTTGGGAGAAATTAAAAAATAGCCAGATGTACAAGTGGTCATTCAAAAATAGCCACAGTTTCAAAAGTAATCAAAATTTAGCCATTTTTCGTGTAAAGATAAATCTGAACGAAAACATTGTTCAAAATTCGGAAAAATACTCCAGCATAATATACTGGAGTTCCAGTATAATATATCGGTCCAGCATAATATACTGGAGTGTGGAGCACCGGTGCTTCAGTCTCCAGTATATTATACCGGAGCCAGCAAAGTATACCGGTCCAGCATAATATGCTGGAAGTTCATACACAGGTGCACCGAACTCCAGTATATTATGTTGGACCGGTCTCTGTTGTAGCAAAATAGTGACTATTTTTGAATGACCAATCCAAAAACTGGCTAGACCTTGCTATTTTAACTTTAAATTCATTTGCAAATTAAGGACCACATAATTTAGAGGGTTAAAAAGTCTGTTACTATTTCAGAGTCAACGGAAGGAAAATGACATTCTAATTCAAGTCAATATTGTAGATTTTTAGTACCGTAGTTCGTACTACAATAGCATCTTATCAATAAAAAAATCAATACAGGTCAAAGTTGAAGTCTAGGAGAGTTTTACAGCTTGTTTGGATGGTTGTTACGCATCGTTTCATAATGGATCGTATCGTACTGTATTGTATTGTACTGTATCGTTTGATAAATATAATGTTTGGATAGATTGTATCGTTTGTCATCGTTTCATGATATTACGCACCAGCAATATGAAGAAGAAACTTGCAATATTATAAAGAAAAATTATGATACAAGGTAAAATTACTATATAAAAAGATAGGATAAATGATAAAATAAAATAATTTAATAATAATAAAGGGCGAGATTGAGAGAAAACGGTACAATTGCAAAGCCAAAATATTACTCTATATATATATATATGGCACACACTTTTTTTAAGACTATTTTGAAAAGAATGTCAAATTTCTATATTTAAAAATAATTTAACTCAGAATTAAGACTTGTTTTAGACCACAAGTTATAAAAAAAATTCATTTCTTTCTTAACATTCGAACCCAGTCAAATGATGTCATATAATTGGAATATATTACTCCCTCTATTTTAATTTATGTGTCCTAATCTGATTGGGCACGGAAGTTTAAGAAAAGTAATAAAGACTTTTAAATTTTACAGTCTTAAACTAAAGACGTGTGTAATGTACTAAAATATCCTTGAATCTTGTGGTCTTAGATATGTCACGTGGAATGTTGGAGTTAATGAGTTACTAAATATAAAAAGAGCATTCTTTTTTTAAAGAGATTAAAAAGAAAAGTAAGACATATAAATTGAGACAAAATGAATAACTATCAAGGTGCACATTACCCAATTTAAATTTGTCACTGATCATATATACAGTTGATATTATCGCATACATTTAAATTCTTGCAGATATTCGCATGCATACAGGAAGAAATTTTCGGGTGCCAATACACCCTATCTTATCTTATTATGTAGGTCCAACTCTAACTTCAATAGCAATTAGTGCAATTCAAAATTGAATATCCTACAAATGCAATTACCAGAAAAGGAAAATAAAATATGAAGTGAGAAAAAAGAAGGATGAAATAAAGGACATAGTGCTATTCCAAACCCTATAATATAATTTATATAGTAAAACAAAAAGGATGGGAAGAACGCTAATGGACGTGAAATTGGAAAATAAGAAGGGGATGAGAAGCTAGATTCAGAATTGGGGATGAGAGGACTCCGACATTTTTTCTCAACAATATTCCATAACACAGACCATTGCCCCTTATAATAGAAGCAGTCTTACGCCTATTACTCAACCTTGATCCCAAATGGGATTAACCTGGCCCTATTGCTTGTACTCGGTCCAATAGTTCGTGTTAGCCCAATAACTATTTGTGTGAGATTGGGTTGGTGTTGGTTCATAACAATTTGCACCTCATGAATTAACTCAAACTCGCACCCGAGGAGACGTGTGGTTGTCTCGACGTTTTAAATTTTCGGATGAAATGATCATGCACTTCACTAAACGCCTCTTTTAACATTTTTGTAAGTATCTCCAAAGTGAAAGCAACCTCAATATATAACTTGTTTCTTTAATTTCTTTTTCAACGATACGAAATCTAAATAATTCTTACTATAAAACTGTTTAAAGTATGATGCGTAGCTAGTGTAACTTGGAGTAATTAATCTGGAGAAATATAAATACTTGAGGAGCAAAGAAAAGTAAAATAAAAAACCAGCAAGCTCAGTATATTAGCTAGTTTGACAGGTTCATTGCTTAAACAACTATTTGAAATAGGCGAACAAATTTATTTTCTTTTCTTTCGTAAGTTATTTTTTTTGTATTTGACTTAAAATATTATTAATCTTTTTCATTTTGTAGAAAAGTCACTTTTCTTTTAATTTGTTATGCCACTGAAAGGTTCAATTTTTTCTTTTGAATCTGAAAAGCCATTAATCTTTTATTATTTCATTCAAAAGATCACTTTAGCCGAAAAGTAATATATCTAGGCATTTTTAAATAAACGTGACACTTTCTTAAATTAAAAAAATCAGGTGTCGCGTCATTAAAAAGTAGTTGAATATACTCCCACTAGTCCACTTTAAGTGATCTTTTGATATTTTTTTGTGGTCCACAATACTTAATTTTTTTTAATTTCTCCTTTCTAAAGTTATCCTTGGAGTAAACAGTCTAAGAGTATTTTGTAATATTTTCAATGAGCAAATTAAATTTAGTATGGTCAATTTCATAGTTAATTAATACTAAAAGGTGAATTCTTAATATATGTAAAAAAGACCAAAAAATTACTTAAAGTGGACCGATATAAGTATCAATTTCTGATTTTAGCGACCTTTGATGTGAAATAGCAAAAGACAAGTGATTTTCTGATACAAATGAAAGAAGAGTAATCTTTTGATGCGTTAAATAACAAAAGATAAATAGCTTTCCTAATATTATAAAAGAAAGAAACATATTTCTTTTGTTCACATAGTCCCGTGCTATGTGTACAACATGTTCCTTTATAATTTTGAATTTAAGAAAAAGACCTTTTTAGATCTCTTATATGTAAAAATCAAATCTCTTAAATGTAAAAGTAAATCTCTCACGTGTAAAAAAAAAAAAAAAAAAAAAAAAAAAAAAAAAAAAAAAAAAGGGTAGGGTCATATAGCTAAAAACAAATTTGTAAAGTGACAAAAAAACCAATTGACTCGCATTATACAAAGTTATAAACTTACCTTCATAGATGCGGACATGAAGGCATCCTGCCACTGAAGATGACGACCGTAACATTGATACAACTCGATTGACTCCAAGCTGCATATATCCACAAAGCTTAGAGGGATTCCCTTAAGCTGCACCCCTATTTCCGAGAGCACCAGACATTGAAGATTTGTCCCACCTATATGGCTGTGTCTTATAAAGTAGGAGATGAACTGATGTTCATCATTCAGTTCCCATACTTCACCTCTAAATGCATTCCAACTTAGTTTGAGTACTTCCAGGTTTGGCAACTTGGCAAGTATTGCCATGTCATCCCAGGGAAGACGAGTTCGGATCAAGCTCAACTTCTTTAGTGATGGTGGGAAAGAAATACTCTCTGCTCCAAATATAGGCTAAGTGATTCAAGTTTTTCTAAGTAGACAAGATTTCAAGTTTTATAGTTAGTGCAGGTTCCTCTAGTGTAACCAGAAATAGTCAATTTCTTTAGGTTAGTGAGGCACCTCCTTTGTACAGCAAAGAAAACAAAGTGAGTCCAGCTCCTGTAGGTGTTGCAGACCCAAATCACTTTTACTGTTTTCCACGTCTTGTGGATTGGGTAAATATATGGTTTGGCCATTGAAATGGAGATGCCTCAACAGCTTCATATTCCAGATTTTGCTGGGTAAAAGTAAAACTTCGGGTTGACCAACAATCAAACAAGTAACGGTTCGGAGGTTAGACATATAATGAAACAATTTAATGAAACTAATGATATCCATTATCTCAGCATATCTCAAGATCGGTGAATATATGTGTCACACCTCCTTTTTCCGTACCCGCGAGGGGACAAGGGAGTTTTTTCCAATTAAAGGACNAACTATTTCTTTTGGAGTGACTGTCCGTGAAGTAAAAATCACGTGCTTACAATATGCTTATGGGAATAGAGGAGGGATAAAACATTGGAAGGGCCAACACCCTCAACGCTTCGAATTTCGAAGTTTTACTCGTTGGTAGATGATGTTTGAAAAGGTACAAGGAATGCATAACTTGAGATGACTTCTCAAATTCTTCCACTTAAATGCGTGTATGAGAACTAAAGCGAAAAGTCCCATGATTTGTTGCTGAAAAATCAAAAAAAAAATTCTTGTTTAGCTTCATGCACACTCAAATCTCTCAACAAATCATGCATGCCACAACTCTTGATCCGACCATCAAATTTCCTCCTTTTAACCATTACTAAATTTCTACTGACTAGATCCTCCAAACAATCCTCTGCCACTTCTTCTAGACTTTTCAACCTATCACACTTGAGGAATCCCTCTGAAACCCACAATCGGATCAATCTTTCAATAGTAATCTCACAATCTTCGGGGAATATCCCCAAATGGAGGAAACATGGTTTGAGGTGAATCGGCAAGTGATGGTAACTCATAGCAAGTACTGCTAGGCATTTATCCGGATAACTTGTAATAACTTTACTTACATTTTTAGCTACACTTTCCCAACTTTCTTCTGTCATGGGAACTTTGGAGAGATGCCCTGCAACTACCAGAATAGCCAGTGGTAGTCCTTGGCATTTTCCTACTATTTGTTTCCCGATTTCCTCCAATTCAGAAGGACAATTATCATGTGCTGCCCCAAACAACCTGTTGTAAAGTAACTTCCAGCTATCATCTAACCTCAATGTCTTCATCATGAGGAGGGATAACAGAATTAACATACTCAGCCACATCTTTTAACCTCGTAGTCAAAATGATTCGACTACCATTTCTGTCCTCTGGAAGAGTTCTTGACATCAGATCCCAAATATCTGTATTCCAAACATCATCAATGACAATAAGATACCTCCGACCTGAAAAGTGCTTTATATGACTTATCCATTAACTGGTCATCACTCATTTCTGGAAACTCATTCCCTGTAATGCTATGAACAAGATTTAGCAGCACTTCTTGATGGAATATATACCACAGCGGAAGCAATAACAGAATCTTATTCACATGTAATCTAAACAA